CTCCATCTCTTAGAAATATGCCAGGGCAGTCAAACTTAATGCAAGGATGCCTTACACTCTACCCAAACCACTAACACATTTACCCATCTCTCTGTTCACCCAGATTCTGGCCTTGTTCAGCTTTCCCGGATTGGCTTTCCTCCAGTGACATCTCTCATTGATAGAAGATAGAATTATCTTCATCTCTGAGAAGTTGTCACTGAGGGAAAGCAGGTCCTGCTTCATCGCTGTGACAAGCTCCACACCTTTGATGTTGCCAAGGTCGTTGCCGCCACAGTGGATGAGCAGGACATCCGGGACTGTTCTTCCTCTCAAGGACTAATAGAAAAAGGGAAGAAGGTTCCTCCACCTCAGACCACCCTTGCCAAACCACCACACACGGCAATTGAGACCCAGGTTGCTTCCCATGGTGTGTCTGGCTCTTTCTTCCCCACGTCTAACGTAGCTGCTCCCTATTATCCACACATTGGGACCTAGATAGAATAAAATATATTGAAAAAGTGGTTACTGGTGATCATCTTTTAGAAAAAGGCGGTACATGTAGCCTGAGTTGTCATATCATTTTCATCATATTTTTAAGACTACACAAGTTTAATTTGTATATTACATATAACTCTATACTTGTATATAGAATCATGATGAAACTTTATAAGGATTAAGATTATATATGAATATTACATTAAATAATGCATGACGATTTCATGCATTATTACGAAGCAGGATGTATCAAGTCACTGACTTTTTGTGATAAGGTCACAATCAACTGATTTCACTCATCAGATGTAAAAATAAGGTACAATATATTTGTTTTTGCCATATGAAAGTAAAGGGTATGCAATCAAAAAATTACTGAAACAAAATGAATACAAATTCTTATAAAAACTATACAGCACCTTGTCCAAGTATGGCGGGAGGCCCACTTTCCTTCAGGATTTCCTCTCTGGATGTCGATCCGGCTATTTCTGCCATCTATAAATAAAGTACAAATGATTAGCTCTTCACGCCTCTTTAAAATAATATGTGTTCTTGAAGATTCTGTATACATCGTCGTTTACAATGGTAGGGACATTGCATTGGAAATTAGTTATTAAAAATATATGTCATTTTTAGTTTTTTCATCTCACATTTATAGATTTTAAATAGAAATATATATATATATAAAACGAATTATAAATGCAAAGTCTGGTTTCTAGAAAGTTAGCTAATGCATACAGAGTTAACATTGCAGAACTGCTGGCATGCATACATTTCTAGCATTTTGGTTAACTATGAAAAGTATGGAAAATTACTGTGCAAACACCCAACATTAGCTTAGCCACAGTAGCGGTTGCTGATGAGTGGTTTGGTTTATTTTACTCTTTTATATGAGAACATGTTACATTACATACAGACATTAAGGAGGCAGGTTAGAAAATAAACATGTTTTCGTATCTTACCTTTTGGAGCAAACTGTTGTCGGTTGTTAGCATAGACTGTATAAAGCGTTGTCTCTTTAGCCTCAGTGACGTGACAGTGAACACTGAACGTGACCGCGTGTGAAGGGGGAGGTGCTGAACACGTCACATCACATGAACGTGCCGGGCAGCGCGGTCCCGTGGGTTAGATGCGCGTTCATAATGCCGAGGGAAATAACTCTCAGAATAACGTTATTAGCAAATGTTTACAACTTGAGGAACGAATGTTTTTAATAAGGGCTATACAAGTCTTCATACTGGGTTGTTTATTTAGTTTAAAAAAAATTATCCAACGAGTTACAGACCACTCTTTCCCCATGTAAGTCAATGGGAAAAAGTGTTTCCGGGCCCAGCAACCAAACGGAAGTGTAGTACCGTCGTTTGGCCACTACGAATATTCTCATTAGACTCCGGCGCGCTTCCTGGGGGCTTGCGGTGAGGCGGCGCAGTTCCTCTCCACGGGCTGCGGAAGCGAAATGCTTGATGGGAAACGACCAAGCGGCAAACTCTGGGGAAGAGCCGGGAAGCCAATACGGAAGTGCCACACACTGCAGTTCATATATTGGCCAATAGGCGATGGCTGCAGAAAGGAGCAATTTCCATAGACCCCCATGTTAAAATGCCCAATTTTACAGCAGAAAAAAACATGTTTCTACCCCTGGCTCCATACATTTTTATTATCGATATAGTTAGATTACACCTTCATGATTATGGATCTGTGAGTGAATTGTTTTCTAACACGACCCTTTTATTTATATTAGGTCTTAAAGTTTTTGCATAAATTAGGGCGTGGTCACTTTGATGGACAGGCACGTGCCTCACTGTCAGCTAACAGCAACTTGTCCACTCTGCTAGGCTACAACCATAGAGGCTACAACGTTAGTTAGTCGTAGTTACTGTACTTGACCCTTTAGCTTTAGCCGTGTTCGTGGTGATTGTGGGAATATTGTTACAAATACCAGACAATTAAAATGTCGTGCTGTGCGCTTGAATGTACTAACAGAACTTCCAAGAAGTCTACTCTCAGCTTTTTTCGGTGAGTAAAATGATAATATTATACATGTTAACCCAGGGTTGCCAACTCTGGGTACCTGGCTGGAGTGAGATTTTGATATCATGGGTTTAATTACACATACTGTATGCGCACTAAATGACTGCTATCATGTCAGTAGCGGGACCTTAGCCTATATATAGGATATATATACGAATACACAATATTGGACACAGACTATAAAGGGCACACAGTTTCATTCACTAATGAATGTCAAACACATGTTTGTTTCCACTGTTTTATTGTGTGCATAGGCCTGTCGCGATAAGCAATTAAATGACTTATCGTAGGATAAATAAAAATGAACTCCATAACTTTTCTGACCTCGATACATTTACATTTACATGAGGATGTGACTAGCAGTTTGAAAGGATGTACTTGAATTATTATTATATATTATATTATGTCAGTGGTCTAAAATGGTCATACAACGGTGCCGACAATATTATCGTTTATCGCAATAATTTCCGGGAAAATGTATCCAACAAAATACATTTTCGTGAGAGGCCTATACATGAAACACACACACACAAACAAATCTACAGACTTACTCCAAATTGTCAAATATATTAATTAACGCACTCTCACTCTCATATACTCGTTGACTCTATTTTTGGCCTAGTAGAACAATAAGCAGTAGACTTTTACTTGTTATAATTTCTACTGGATCTTAGATCTGCGCATGCGCAATACGGGTCGGGGATTGACCAACCGTCTCCCACTGCTCTGCTGTCTGTTAACGTTAAGAGTGGTGGGGGCGGGGAGGGAGCGGATCGACAGCTTGAGCAGCTGTCAACTCAACATTGTAAATAACCAAGCAAAAACGATCGCCGGTTCATCTTGTTTTTGGCGTGAGAATAGTTTGGGCAGCGTGAGAGCGTGAGATTGAGAGTGAAAGCGTGTGTCACACGCCAGATGCGTGAGAGTTGGCAACCCTGTACCCCGTTAGCAGGTGTTTGTGTGCTTGTTAGCTTAGCTTGTTGTGTAGCTTATTAGCCAGCTAAGGACGTAACCCTTTATACATGTGTATATATATATACAGTTTAGTTTATGATTCAGCCTTGGGTAAGACTTTTATAGTCTATGGCTATGACGCCCATAATGCTAAATGGGAGCAAATGTTAAAAGGGGACCCAATTATCCCAGTGGTGGCCGCCGGAGTCCGCCGCCGAAGCTAACCGGAGCCGTAGCTAGCCCTTTGCGGCTCCGTCGGCCCCTACACACGGCGGCGTGCGTTGCCGCTTCAACGCTTCTGCCCATCGACTTTGAATGGGGTGACGTCACGATTCGCCGAACTGCATTGTGGGAGCAAAGCGTAGCTTCTCTCGCGGTGCTCGCTACAAAAGAAGAGCAATGTTCTACTTTTGCCGCCTCGACGGAGGCGTCAGCCAATCAAATCCCGCGTATGCAAATCTGACAGTACAAGCGCTAGCCAATCAAACCGCGTGTATGTTGGGAGAGCCAGACCGCAGTTATTTCCCATATGTCAAAAAATGGAGGAGAAAATTATCGTGGCGGTAGGGAATCACCCGGTACTATATGACCAGTCCCTCTTTACATACAGGGATACAAACCGGAGGAGCCAGGCATGAGGTGGCAGAGACAGTGGGTGAAACTGGTAGGTTTTCGCCTGTTTGGGGATTTTATATCCAGTGTACTTCGTTTGAATGGACAGCTAGCAAGCATAGACAGTATATTTAGCCAGCATGGATGTAGCATGAGCTTTGCTTTGTATGTCCGGGGCGGGACATACATATGATTGGTTGTTGGTCGCGTTGCTCGCGTTGACTCCGCAAGCTCAAGACACGCCCACCGCCAAGCGGTAACGCACGCCGCCGTGTGTAGGCTCCGTTAGCTTAACTACCCGCTTAGTGCTTTGCGCATCGCTACAGCTGGCCACGCTATCCAGCTTGCCAGAAGCTGTCAGCTGCTGGTACGTCCGCAGCGTGCTCCTCCATATTTGAATGTCTTAAAGTCAAACGGATTGGCACAAATCAATCAGTACAATGCAAGCGCTTATTGTTCATCCCTTTCACAACCAAATGCATTGGAATTACGCCCCTTGTGTGCACACAACTGAATTCCTATGGCCATTTAAACTGGTTGTAGCACAATACACATACCTCCTTAGATGAACGTAGTTCCGTGCCAAGCGGCGAAAAGCTTCCCGGCACCATTCACCGCGTTGCTCCTGTCGCCTTCCTGTGCAGCAGATGAGCAAACGAGTTGTAGCTGTCCTCTCGGCGTCAGGTGGCTGATAACAGCTGAGCAGCCGGCGTGTTGTTGTCCTCCTCTCGGCGTCAGGTAGAAGGTGAGCAGCCGCTCTCAGCGTTCGATAAACGCAACGAAAAAATGTCCTCTTGTGTTACTCCAAAAAAGGCTAGTTTTTGACTATTTGTAGAGGCTAAGCCAACGCGTTAAGCCTCTGAGGATCCGCTTGGTGGGTGTATATGACGCACACAAGTTTGCTGCCGAATAAAGGTCAGAAACAAAAGTTTCCAGTTTGAAACAGTCCATTTATTTCCATTTTACTGGTTTCCATTTTACTTGCTTCTTTCCATATTCACCACACGATATTACCGTTTACACAATACCTTTGCTTTGCTTGTAATCGTGTGTGTGTGTGTGTGTGTGTGTGTGTGTGTGTGTGTGTGTGTGTGTGTGTGTGTGTGTGTGTGTGGTCAAAAACTGTATGGGCCTTCTGGCGGAACCTCTCACCAACACACATATGTCCCTACCTTTATACCCACAGTTAATTGGCTCCTACAACTACTGTATGATGTGCCATCAACTTTGCTTTAGCTCTTTGGTCTTCACAAAAGTGTTTTTTTTTGTGGCTGGAAACTAGGTAGATGAGAGCAGTGAGACTTAATTACAGGTTTTGTGTGAGGTGTGAAAAAAGTAGAAAGACACGATAAAGCTCTGTAGAGCTGAAGGGAACTGGAGACGTGGTCAAATCCCCCTGAGGGTTTGTCACTACAAGTAAACCCCTTAAACATCATGATTAATTGATTCATTAGTGCAGCAATAATCGAAACACTTTTTTTACGATCCAGTGTTGAATTGTGTAGGACCTAATTAGGATAGCCTCCGACTTCTGACCTGCACCTTCATTGAATAGGGTTTAGGGGTCTGGGTCGAACCAAAAACAGGCGTGTATTCTGGCTCTCCTGCATCTTCTGGCCAGATGAACTTGAACCTCCTCAGAAGTGTTACCACAATGAGGAAGAGCTCCATACGAGCCAGAACCTCTCCGAGACACATACGATGACCTGCAGGTAAAAACGCATATTCTCCATTACATTACATTGCATTTAGCTGACGCTTTTATCCAAAGCGACTTACAATAAGTGCATTCGACCAATAAGATACAAACTTGAAGAAAACAGAATCATATAAGTACATCAGGTTTCATAGAGCCAAAACATTTCAAGTGCTACTCAACTGGCTTTAGATAAGCCAGTCCTTTATTAGTATATAAAGCCAGTCCTTTATTAGTATATAAGCATCCATAACCTAATGACATTTCTTCAATCAAACCTCCAATAAATCTTTCAATCTATGAATGTGCTTAACGTTTGACTCACCTGTAGAGAATGGCACGAAGGCTTCTGGTTTAACAAACTCTCCCCGGTCATTGAGGAAGTTTTCAGGGTTGAATTCATGGGGAGATTTCCACTGTCCCTCCTCCTTCAGCACTGAGGACAGGTTAGGAATGATAATGGTTCCCTGAAAATTAAACAAGGAAGAATTGAAAAAGAGCTGGATGTGCACCAGTCAAAAGTTTGGACACACCCTCTCATTCAATGGTTTTTGTTTATTTTAATTGTTTTCTACTTTTTAGATTAATACTGAAGACAACAAAACTATAAAATAACACATATGGAATTATCTAGTAACCAAAAAAGTGTTAAAAAATCCAGAATATTATTTATATTTTAGATTCTTCAAAGTAGCCCCCTTTTGCCTTGATGACAGCTTTGCACACTCTTGGCTTCTCTCAGTCAGCTTCATGAGGTAGACACCTGGAATGGTTTAAAATGAACACATGTGCCTTGTCAAGAGTCAATTTGTGGAATTAGTTGCCTTCTGAATGTGTTTGAGACCATCAGTTGTGTTGTGCAGAGGTAGGGTTAGTGCACAGTGGATAATCCTATTTGATTATTGTTGAAATCCATATTATGTCAAGAACGACTCAACTCAGTGAAGAGAAACGACAATCCATCATCACTTTAAGAAATGAAGGTCAGTTAATACGGAAAATGTCAAGAACTTTGAATGCATCCTCAAGTGCAGTCGCAAAAACCATCAAACGCTATGATGAGGCCCCCCCCCCCGGGAAAGGAAGACCAAGAGTTACCTCTGCTGCAGAGGATAAATACATCAGATTTATCAGCCTCAGAAACTGCAAATTAAAGCACCTCAGATTAGAGCCCACATAAATGATCACAGAGCTGAAGTAGCAGACAATCTCAGCATCCGCTGTTCAGAGGAGACTGCGTGAATCAGGCCTTCATGGTCCAATTGCTGCAAAGAAGCCACTACTCAGGATGAACAACAAGAAGAAGAGAATTGTTTGGGCCAAGAAACACAAGGAATGGACATTAAACCAGTGGAAATCTGTACTTTGGTCCGATGAGTCAACATTTGAGATTTTTGGTTCCTACCGCTGTGTCTTTGCAGTGGCGGCCGGCCCATAGGGGCGCTAGGGCTCCGCCCCACCTCTTCCCACATTCTAGATTGTGCAGGAAACACGTGTGATAAGTCACGTGTTTCCTGCTTGGGGTGCAGAAATCTTTGGCCATAGAGTGCCATAGTGACGCGTCCTAAAACCCGGAAGTAAGTTAGCATTTTAACACTTCCGGTTCCTTCGACAAAAACCAATGCAATTTTCCATAGGATTTTGGAAAATAGCTGGAAATAAGGTCTGTGGTTGACACACATTTAAGAGACGGATCACGTTTTGTTCAGCCGGATAATATCCACATGTCAACCCTACTTTTATAATTTTCTAATCATAAATCTAGTCGCCAAAAGAAAAATGCTAATGTTATGCTATAAACAAACTACAAGCGAGTACAGCAGCAGGGTCGCACGACTTCAACGTCACGCCAACTTAAGATCGTTTCAACTGACTTTTGCGCGCTTGCATATTTTAACAAAGCTTTTCCTTTTAGCCACACTGAATTTAACTAGAAGTCGTGGCTGTGTTAATTACCAGTCTGATATTGTTTTACAAAGATGACAAGAAGAGTGTAGATAGAGGAGAGAACCACTATAAGTCAGGACACGTACAGCAGTGCAGCCTAGATGAAGGTGTGCTTACCGGTGTTGTCAGGGCTAGCGTGAGGGACAAGGTTTATAGATAGTGTCGGTGATAGCAAGAGTACCATTAACCTAGTGTTCATTTATTCATATTAGTGACATTAATTCCCATCAACAAATCAATTTTATGTGTCACATGAAATCTTTATTACAAATATTACACACCAGAAAACACAGAAATATCCATGAAATAAACATACAGAAAAAAAGGGATAATTGGGAAGGCATTACAAATGTAAATATATTTTAAATAATAAAACAATCCCACCACCACAGGTATCTACAGGAGAAGAGGGAATTTAGGGAACAGAACCTAAATAAAAGAAATAAAATGCACCCAGTTTAAAGGCATAGTTTGAGTTTAATGATGAACTCAAAATGTAAAACAAAGTATGAAACATGTTTCTTGGATCGATTAAACAGCAGAACCTAAATAAAAGAAATAAAATGCACTCAGTTTAAAGACCTTGTTTGAGTGTAATGACCAGTGGTGGCGCCAGTGTATGGCTAGGGTAGGCTACAGCCATAACAAGAAATGGCTTAGCCCCACCTTAGCCCCACCATGAAAAATGATGTTAAAGTAACCATGTTGAGAACACGGATTGCGAAAATATACGGGTCGTGTCCACAACACACAAACTCATCCTGCTGTAACAACAAGTGCACGTTACTGATGCAATATGGTTGAGACCATTCAGGCTTATGCTAGAAGAGGGGTGCAAGGAATAGTCTAAGTAGTGGGGGAGTTTTATACACTAACGGCCATAGCCGCGGGAAGTGATTTTGCTCAGGGGGTGCTGCCAAAAGTGGGGATGGAGCCGTTTACATTTTTTTTAAAAAGGCGGTGCCGGGCCGGGCCCGGCTGTCAGCGATACGAGCCGCATTAATTGTTTGGTAAAGGCGAGACACGGCAGGCAAAAACATCGTTTTTCATGCACTGGTCAATTTTTAGATGTTGTGCTATTTTGATTCCATAACATGTTTTCTTTCAGGCTTTTGGAAGGAAAATGTACAAAATACACATTTAAGTGTTCATTTGACTATAGTTTGTCTATTTGCATCTGTATATTTCTCCTACATTTACCAAAAGTTAGCATTTCTAACGTAACATAAAGTACCGCGATCGCTGTTTGCACAATGTCATCGTTGGAAAAGCTCCGTCTCTCCTGCACAATGATCTCATCGGATCCAAATATGGTCATTTCCTTTGTATCAGCAACCAATCGTGAAAGCACAAAAGGGTCTTAAACCAAGAAACGAAATCTCATTGGCTGGTGTCAATTTCTGACAACGTGATTCGTTCAGATGCATCACGTGGTGTGCTAAAACACTTCCTGATTAGCTTTCCGCTAGAAATGTAAATCTCAAAATGGCAAAAGAACGACGGAAAAAAACGTTCACAGAGAAGACAACAACAATTGTCACTTGCACGAAGCAAGGTTATACAAAACACAAATGACCCCGACCATGAAATACCTTCACGGAGTGCGTCGATGCGCAAGCTGTCATCCAAAGAACAGAGGGTTTAGCTAGCGCCTCACTGCAATCTTTAAAGTTCGTTTTCTCAAAATGAGTTTTTTCTCCTACTCTGAGTCCGAAATGTCCACTTCAGTTGCAATTACATACACCAGACCTTCCAGTTATATTCCTATCAATATTATGAAGGCTTTTACAGAAGGGTTTGTTCATATATAATTCATAGCCTGAATTATATAAGATTGTATACCTAGAAACATGGCGAAAATTGATATTTTAGGGCTGTTGACAATATTTTCTGATTTATGGAGTGATAAAGAGAGATATCCAAAATCCCTTCGGTGAAAGCCTTACAGTAGATGCTAATATGACTACAAAATGAAACGAGAATTTTGAACCTGGCTTTATCCAAAGTTCAGATTTCGGTTCCTGAAATGTGTTAAAATATGCGCAAATGTAATGAGATAATGGATAATTTATATATATTACTCTAGTTGTAGAGGTGGTGGGCTGAGGAGTAGCTGGTGGTCCACTCTTTTTATTGGGTTGTTTGTTGGAGAAAACAAATCCAAAATCCTTTTTTGCTCCATTCTAGAAAGTTGTCACTCTGCAGTGTGTGTGTCGCGTCAATTACGTCACTCTCCCAAGACCTACGACCTAGATGACTCGGATTTTACTTATTTGGAAAATAAATTCAAGCCACCTGATATATACAAATATATACTATGACTATTATATGCTACTGTATACAGCTAATTTTATTTTAAGTAAAATCATAACTATTTTATGTAGTTTAATCATTTTTATTTAGGTGGTCACTCAGTTTTTCAAATGTACACCACTCGCCAACAGGGGGTGCTGCAGCACCCCCAGCACCCCTACTTCCCGCGGCTATGCTAACGGCCTGTCCACACAGCGGCGTGCGTTGAAGCTTCTAACGCTTCTGCCCATTCACTTTGAATGGGGTGACGTCACTTTTAGCCGAACTGCATTTTGGGAAGCTACGTGGAGCGTTGCTGGTTCAAAAGTTGAGCAATGTTCAACTTTTGACGCCTCGACGGAGGCGTCAGCCAATGAAATCCCGTTTATGCAAATCTGCCAGTACAAGTGCTAGCCAATCAAACCGCATGTATGCTGGGAGAGACTACGCAGGTCATTTCCTCATATTCCAAAAAATGGAGGGAAAATTCATTATAGCGGTAGTGAATCACCCGGTGCTGTATGATCAGTCTCTGTTCATCTACCGGGATACAAACCGGAGGAGCGAGGCATGGAGGGAGGTGGCAGAGACAGTGGGTGAAACTGGTAGGTTTTCGCCTGTTTGGGGATTTTATATCCAGTTTACTTCGTTTTAACATTGCTATTGCTTTGTATGTCGGGGGCGGGAGATTCATGTGATTGGTTGTTGGTCGCGTTGCTCTCAAAAAATCCCCAAGCTTCAGATACGCCCACCTCCAAACGTCAACGCACGCTGCTGTGTGGACGCTCCGTAAAGGTGTGAAAATTATGTCGCGTTATAATATCAGCGCGGCCGCGGTCAGATCAAAATGCCTCCGAATGCAATTTGATTAGACCTACAGCCAATCAGAGCAACGAAACGTTGGGTCTGCGTCATGCATTACTGATCGAGATCAGTCAGAACCGCCATTCAGTATCCCCATTGGATCTTCAACGTGTACTATCATACGTCACGTTCACAGTGATCCCTTTTTATTTACTACAAGACAAATGTGCCGTTTTATTTCATAGTATACAGTTCAATTTTGATTGAGACAGGGAAATAATCTAAACCTCATGCATGGCGTTTCACTGTCAAGGGGGGCGATAAAGCATGTATGTAATTACATTTGCATGCCAAGTAGCCATGTGCTTTCTGGGGCTAAATCTTTATCATTAAACCGATTTAACTGGTAAAAGTTCCTTCAAAAATAAGAGTTACTATCAAAATAAAAGTGCAAAACGAAAACTTTACCTTAGGAAAATATTGGCATACAAATATAATCACTTCTCTAAAAGGTAACTCATTTTAAATATAGTTTATTTATATATAATAATAATATTGATATTAGTAATAAGCTTTATATTTGTATAGCACCTATTACAAGAATTGTAGCCAAACTCGCTTCACAGCAGTTCAATAGACAGATTAGTATAACATGACAGGATAAAAGCAATGTAGAGGAGCAGCTACATTTCAAAACATATATCCACGAAGATTAATACATGAAGACTTGTGACTCGGACTCAGTGGCGAGCCGTCAGGGCCCTCTAGGCCCTCTGTGAGGGCCTAAGATATTCTACAAAATAATATTTAAAAACATTAAAAAAAAAAAATTTCATTAGTTTTATCAAAATAACTTGATTTTATTGTATTTAAAATAACATTTCCAAATAAATAAATCCTTCGAATCTGCCTATTCAGTTTCTGTTGGAATGTGAAGGGTTAAATGAAGATAGGAGCTGTTGGATGTCCAGGCGGTCCAGCTATGAATTCACAGAGGGCCAGCTATAGTAACTGAACGAGAGAGTAATGTCAAATGACAGTACAATTGACCAATCATATCTTCCCTCTATATGGGTGGGTTTTATTATCGCGGACTTTATGACAAGTTCCGCCCGCTGTGAAACTTTTCTTGTTTCCATAACAACAACAACTTCCTGTCAATAGCGTTAACTCACCTTCAAAATAAAAGCATGCCACTTAAGACATACAACTGCAACGAAAGTAACAAACACAATGCAATATCCTTTTAAATTTCAAAGAACACAAATAGGGTTATTTACAGGTGTTGTTTTGTGTGATAGAGGGTCGCTTTCATTGCTGCGTTTTGCACCCCGGCCGTTGTTTTGATATTCCGCTGAAGTATACGCTGTGACGTAATAACTCGAGGGAAGGGGTGGGGGTCAGAGGGCCTAGGTATAAAAGTCACGGCTCGCCACTGCTCGGACTTCACTTGGACTCTTCTTAGGTGACTCAGACTTGGACTCGGACTCAAACACAGGTAATGATGACTCGGACTCGACTCGGACACTCCTTGGGTGACTCGGACTTGGACTCGGACTCGAACACAGGTAATGATGACTCGGACTCGACTCGGACACTCCTTGGGTGACTCAGACTTGGACTCGACTACGACTCTCCCTTGGTGACTCGGACTTGGACTCGGACTCGAAGAGTGGTGACTCGAGAGTGACTTGGACTCGTGAATTGGTGACTTGACTACAATACTGGGTTAAGTGTTAGCACCCCCCGAAGAGGCACAAGCTCTTACGTTGATATTGGAGATTTCAATAAATAAAAAATAAAAACAGAAAAAAACGAATATTCGAATAACGAAATTGAAACCCGAATAGTACTCCAACGAACGAATATTTGGATATTCGGGTACAGCCCTACTTGGAAGTCCTTCAAGACGGTTGGAAAACCATTCCAGGTGACTATCTCATGAAGCTGACTGAGAGAAGCCAAGAGTGTGCAAAGCTGTCATCAAGGCAAAAGGGGGCCACTCTGAAGGATCTAAAATATAAATCATATTCTGGATTGTTTAACACTTTTTTGTTTACTAGATAATTCCATATGTGTTTTTTTTTTATAGTTTTAATGTCTTCAATGTAGACAATAATTAAAATAAATAAAAACCAGCGAATGAGAAGGTGTGTCCAAACTTTTGACTGGTGCTGTACATAACGATGGCTGTCACTGCTCTTGATCCTCTTTCCAAGGTTTGTATATTGAAATCTAAATCTAACCCCCCCCCCCCTCCCAATTTCATCAGGTTTCACCATACCTCTTCACAGTCCTCTTCACAGGTGTTCAGATGAGCTAAAAAAACGTATATTTAACTATCACCAATTATTGATATTTCTGGAGGCAATATAATGTTATTTTATCGACATAATTAGGATATGTTATTTATTAATATGTCTATTTTTCGATTTCTTGGAACTAATTGGAAATTCACATCAATATTATCAGCTATTCCCTGTATTGCAAATCGTACCTTTTAGTGTTCAGAGGGAAACTGCTATAATTTCAAGGCTTTTTACATTTTTATGACACACATAATATTTTCCTCTTACCTTGGGTATGGAGTATCCCATTAGCTGTGTGTCTTTACTGGTGCAATGGAAAACAGAGAGAGGAACAGTGTCGGCCACCCGCTGGATCTCATGGATAACAGCCTGTAAAACAGAGACACAGCTGTAACGTTGTTCAAACCCAGATATATTACTACGTTTTTACAATTCAAAGACGCTTTTAAAATGTTCTTATACCTGCACATAGGGCATCTGATGCCTGTCTTCAAAACAGGGTTCTTTTTTCTCATCCAGAACATTGTCTATTTCCTGCTGACAGCGTTCTGGTGATTACAAAGAAAATACATTATGATGAAGAGAGACAAAGAGTTAGTTAACAGAAAGAGAGAACATTGCAACGTTGCGTCATGTTGTCGTCTTCTTTTGACATGATAGATAGATAGAATAGGAGGATGAAACGCTCTTTAATGGTCACACATGCAGAGCACACAGCACACACAGTGAAATTTGGCCTCTGCATTTAACCCAGTACTAGGAGCTAGGATAATGTTGGTATATGAAAATATAGCCCTATAAGTCGCATGTACAAGCAGCTTATATGTTTGTGTAGTGGCCATAGTTAATATGACAAGATCAAAGGCAAAGGTCTGTATTATATAGGCTGAACGAGTCTGTTTATAGAGGAAGTCATTGTGGATTTGTGGGTCAAACAAAAAGAGACCTACATTTTTAGGAGAACAAAATTCATTCGTCAACAACATTTTAATGTATTATAAGTCACTAAAGGTAATGATGTTACTATGTAAGTATTGTACCACTTTTCGTTCTACGTCACTTAAGTAGGCAATAATTATAGTGCTCCAAACCATGATCTTTTAAACCTTACCTGTTAGGGATTAATTTTGTCTTTACTCCTAAGTGTCAAAGAATAATTCTCCTTGCTCCTAAGATATTTGACCTTTCGGTCTGTTGACGTTTTACGACGAAGCCGAAGTCTGTTATCTGTCTTAAGGAATGGGAACTGTCAGCTATTGCTGACATTATGAGTTTTATGACCGGTCAACTCTCGGTCACAAGAGCCATAGAGTCAGATAAAGTGATTCAGTGCCCCCCAGGTGTTCACAGATGCTTTCCCCAATATGGGGGTTGACTCTGAGTGAAGCTAATTAAAGGTCTGCCAAGAGGAGAAGGGAGTCAGAATTGACATGGCAACCCACCGGTGCAGTCAGAACTTTCTGCTGCTGTGATTTGTGATATGAATTCTCCGGCCGATGCTTGTAATAAACTGCCAGTGTTTGACATCAGAACTCCTGCTCGTCCCGTGTCTCTCTGAGTCCTGACTCTCCATTGCTACAGAAGTTTCCCTTACATTACCGATTTCTTTTTTTGCTCTAAGCTAACTAAGCAGTTGTGTTTTCAATGTTAAATAGAACAGTCATGTGATTAACAGTCACATGTTTAATCTACTATTGTGGGACCCTTTTGCAATGTTATAAAGAAAAACATGACTGTCTGTACCACATTTGATGACAATTCGTTCAATAGGTGTCCATATATTTCCAGGACCACAAAGGCCTATGTATTGGCGATCAATAATCAATAAATTCTTTTTTAAGTCTCGACCAACTGACAGACTGACATTTGTATTCCTTTAGCCATGCCTCTAGTATGAATAAATAAAGTGGAGACAGACAGATGATAGAGAGCCATACCCTGTATCTTGGGATAATTCATTAGGTAGAGGAAGGCAGTCAGCAGGGTGTTGGCAATCGTGTCTGTCCCAGCAAAGTGCAGATCCAAAATAAATGCACAAAGCTGGTCCTCAGAAAAGGACGAGCCATCGTCTCCTCTCTATGCAGGTTGACAAGAGAAAGAAAGAGTGAGTAGATATTGTTCATTTTGTCACCTCCTCAAAGCTCAAATGTCTTAGTGGTCAACAACATGTCAGTTTATACCAGGTGTTCAGGACAGAATTCTTCCAATGAACAGAAAAAAACCACACACCTTATCCAGTTCATCCAGGTAAGAGTCTATGAAATGCCGCGGTTTACCAGGAATTCTGGTCTTTTTGTTCTCAGCCACCATCACCAAACGTTTCTCATGTGCGACCTGATAAACAAAATAGTTGAGGTGGGATAACCAAGTTCACCAAGTTTTAGAACAAAAAAAAAGAAGATAATTTAAGGTTTATTAAGGGCATATAAATGTTCAAGTTGAAAACAAAACAATGTTCTGAATTTCAGGTCTACATCTCTTGTCTTGTAGGCTTTACTGACGATTTAACCTATTAACAGGAACCTACGGTCCCATTTAGTAGCCCAAAAATTAAGAAAAAGCAATTTCCTAGCATACCATATTCAGTAGCATAATAATCTGATTGAACACCATGTAAGGTTGTTTCTGTTTATAATAATTAATAGATAACGCAACCCAATTGTGAACAGATTATGATGTTCACATATTGATGAATTGTAATAACTTATACTGGGCTTTGACTTTGCATATAAGGCTATAAAGAGATACTTACAAGCCATTTCTATTAGCCTCAGCTGTACTGTGGACTATAATAGGTACTCATCAACTCCAAGGATTGCACTCCAAGCCATTATCACTGTAATAAAACATGTTTTTTGGCTGTCTGTCAACAAACCTATTTAAAAAATACCTTAAACAACTCAAAGGCCTTCCGAAAGGGCAGTGGCAGGTTGCGCACAATTGGAATAGAGTCATAGATCTGTATGAAAAAGAAAAAAAAATGATTTCAAAAAGTTTAGATTCCCTTAAAGTCATCATTCAGGACCCTTTTTAGGGTATGTTTACTTTAAAAAGATCTCAAGCACATCGACTCTTTGTCTCTCTATTGAGTGGTTTTGTTGTCAAAAATGTGACTCACCATACCCCAGCGCCCATTGAATATTTTGGAGGTCTCTTGAAAAAGGCCAACAAAAAACTTCATAAACTCATCCTCATAGTCAAAGCGCCTTGCAAAAAGAACTTGGCAAATGATGTTGGAGGCCGCATTGTGGAACAGCAGCTGGGGATTCAACATTTTACCTGGAAAAAGCAGATGAAAAATGATTCTTGGACTTGATCTTGACAAAAGTGAAGACACTATAATAATGTAATATTATAATAAAAACACTTATAATGTTCTAAATATCAGATAATATGATTTTAAAAAATACGGTAAGAGAATAAAATAAGAGTATGGTTCACAGCACAGAGTTCAAAAGATGTCTAGACCCTGATGTCATTCTCACTTATATGTTTAGTTATGTAACAAGCAACCTCTGTGTACTGTAAGTTGACAATTGGACATACCAACACTCTGCTCGATCAGCTGTGTGATATGATCTGTCTCTCTCAGAATGTTCTGCTCCATCGTCTGCTTCCCCAGACCAAAGTTTCTCAGGGTCATCAGACCAAAACGACGTTGCTCTTTCCAGGCAGTGTTATAATCTGCTAGAATCACTCCTTGAGCATTAGCTATATGCAAAAATGTAAAATTAGTACTTGCCTTCACTTTCAAATAGCCTTTTTAAATACAGTGAATACAATTTCAGTGATACGTTATATTTTCAATATTAGCTTATTGAACTGCCTACTGGATCACCATCATCGACATTGAATATACTAATGGTTTACATGTTTTTGTGTTTCTTCTCTGCGTGGATTGGTGTTTGTCACAGTTTAATTATTCTACCCAGCAGTGGAAAGTAGAACCCGACCCCATGTTGGTAACCTCTGGATTATACTACCTTACTGTATACAAGGTAATTAAAACTATTTCCACCTTAACCAGCTGCAAGCATAAAAGGCTGCTTAAATGTTGTATACATCAGTATTAACAATCAGATAATCTTATATAATATATCAGTCAATAACTCCTTCTACTTGATACTTTGCTATAATACCGCTGCTGCCAACAGGTGGTGCCATTATGAGGCCTTTAACTGACATGTAGGCAGTTTTAGAGTGTTAAGTTATTGGTTGATAACTATTTCTCTGCAAAAACAATTATATCTCCATACTTTCTGTTTAGATGTTATGGTGTATGGCATACAAATGAAAAATCACTCTGCATGGAAAAAGGCTAATCCTTGGTATGTACCTTTCACAAGTACAACATGATTAACCATTAGGTCTTGTGATCTGCCAGAGAAGTCCGCCGCTTTGGTGACCAGGGCTTCTTTCAAAGCCTGCAGCCCGTTGATGACCACAGCTGGTCGCTTACCAATGAAAATGCTGTATACGTTACCATAGCGCTTGGCCAACTGGGGACAGAGACAGATAAGAATGTGATTTAGGTGATTGACCTTTATACAGAGCAATCATCAACCAAAGTAATGAGTTATTATGAACAAGTTAATGTTAGAAGAAGTAGCTTTAGGTTGAGTTATGTTATTTTCAAGCAATGAAAGATATATTCAATTAACTAACTGTTGTGTCTTGTCAAATTTGTTAGTTATGTTTATGTGTTATGTCCGTCTTTTCATGTTATTTCACGTCATGTCTGTCTATTTATGTCATTTCATCTCTAGTCAAGTCCCTGTGTTTCATTTCATGTCTCGTTTTCCATTTCCTGTTTTATTTTGTACTTACTGTTGTGGAATATTTTCCAAGGCCCATAACTTTGACCCAGTGTATCAGTTCAAACTGTCCTGACTGAGCACAGGCACCTGTAACCTTGGCTGCTGTGCTCTCAGTGTTTTGTCTCCCTGTTCCTGCCTGTTGGCGTCAGCTGATAGAGGTGTTATCATTCTATCTTGTTATGCAGCATGTTGATGATGCTCTCTGAACTAGCTAAATACATGGGTCTGGGGTAGAGTTCTTCAGAATTGACGTGGCAACTCTACCGTGAAGTCAGAACCTCTGACTCTTGGACTTGTGATGTGAATCCTCCGGCAGTTAACTCCAAATAAACCATCATGTGTTTGACATCAAAGCTACTGCTCTTCCCGTGTCTCCTTCCTGAGTCGGTGACTCCCACTGCATAGCTACACAGAAGTTTCCTCTACACTTACCTCTTGTCTCTCATTTCAGGCCCTGTTACTTCCTCCCTTTGTGTGTTTTCCCGCCCTCGTCAGCGTCTGCCCCGCCCCTGATTGTTTCCACCTGTTCCCACTCACCTCATGTTTAAATAGTCCTGTCTCCCCCTGTTCAGTGTCAGTTTGTCTTGTTTGTTTCCATGGATGGTCGTGCCAGGCTTCAGCCAAGAGAGGATAATTTCCAGTCTAGTAAGGTTTTGTTATTTTGTTATTTTTTGCTTTTTGTTTAATCCAGTACCTACTCTGTTAAGAGGGCTTTTCTGTTTGCTTGAAATCAAAAAATCATGTTTTGCTACATTCAAGACTGTCTCTGGGTCGTGCATTTGGGTTCTCCAGTTTGTGTTAAGGTCGTGACAGAACGAACTGACCAAACATAGACCCAGCCGACCCAAAAGCGCTCCAGACTGCACTGTCTGCCCAAGGCAGTCTGATCCACCAGCACCCAGAGCAGCTAACAGCCATTGGGCACGGAGTAAGAGGCTTGTTGCAGACCGCCGTAACTGCGCAGGTCAATCAGCTGGCGACACAGCTTCACCAAATCATCACCCGTCTAGAGAATCCAGCTGTGCCGGCGGTGCCACCTCCCGTCGATCCTGCAGCTGGCCAGGCCGAGGTTCGCTCGGCATCTGTTCCGTTACGGTTGGCATCACCAAAGAGGTTTTCCGGGGAATCTGGAAACTGCAGAACGTTCCTGGTCCAGTGAGATCTACACTACAAGCACAACACAGTGGCGTTTGTTTCCGAGGAAGCCAAGATCGCCTTCTTGGTCTCCCACCTCACCGGCAGATCCGTGGCATGGGCCACGACTGAATGGGCTCGAGATTCTCCCATATGCAGGTCGTATGCCGCTTTTTATGACACTATGAGCTGGGTGTTCGATCCGACCTCAACCTCCAGGGAGGCTATCCGGATTCCTATGCAGATTAAACAGCACTCTCACCCAGTCAGAGACTACGCCATAGAATTCCGGACCGCAGCCTCAGACAGTGGCTGGAACAACCCCGCGTTGATAGACGCGTTTATGAACGGACTGTCAGATCCCATAAAGCTGGGGTGGGGAACCTTTTTCCTCTCAAGGACCATTTCAATTTTTACAACATCCTCCGAGGGCCGTACAAATTATTGAACTCAACCTCTGCTTGAAAAAAACTAAAATCACAGCCCATTCATTTCGCCTTTCTTTCATGTTGTGCAAAGAAAAAGCAACCTCTTAATCCAGATATTTTACCATGACTCGCGCATGCATGCACGTGCACGTGCATTGTGGCATGACCACCAAAACAAAAAGATATGGACACAAGATGTGTGCAAATGTATTTAGTGTCCTATCCATGTGAACATGATTTAAGTGTGGGGGGGGGGGACGTAACCTCCTCTAGGGGGGTCCGGGGGCATGCAAATATTGAAGTTCAAAGCATCAATCTGGTGCACTTTGAGAGCAAAATTAAGAGCTCTATGGATACATCTCTCAATATCCATATGAAAGAGAACTGCAAGCAGATTTTCTTTTTCTTTATGGATATTTTACAAAACACCTTTAAACTGTATTCTTGTTTATTAATAACAACCTTTTTTTATTTTATTTTATTTGCGTGTGTTTATAAATTACCTTGAGGGCCGTACCAAATGATCTCGCGGTCCGTATACGGCCTGGAGGCCGGAGGTTCCCCACCCCTGCCATAAAGGATTGCCTGGCCCCGTTGGAATTGCCTCAAGACCTGGAAACATTCATTTCCATGGCCACTCGAGTGGATAATCGCCTCAAAGAGAGGTAGAGAGAGAGAGGCGTCTAGCCACACCTAGACCTCCAAGCCACCAGGGGCGTTCTCCTGGGAATTCTTCTTCAGGGATTCCGCCGGCCTCTGCAACTCCAGGAACAGCGCCTCCACAAGCACGGGAGGATCCCATGCAGCTGGGAAGAACCAGGATTCCCCCAGAAGAAAGACAGCGCCGCCTACAGGAGGGTAGCTGTTTTTACTGTGGCCGTCAGGGTCACCAGCATGCCGCATATCTGGGAAAAGGACATCTGGCGGTGTGTGGAGGCGACTTGGCGACAGCCACTGAGGACGAAGGCTCCGGTGGCGACATGGGCTGGAATCCTCAGGGTGCAGGGCCACTGCAGGGCGGGAGTGATTACTCGGACCGCTGGGTGGGCCAGATGAATAATCTGGTCCACGGGCGGTAATGGCGGACGGCTGAACAGGTGACGAGCCCCGACTCTCCGATCAATTCCATCCTTTTACTTAATACTGACCAGTTAAATAATTATAAAAACCAACAGTTTGAGACATAAAGCAATGGTAATCTGATATGCCCAACAAAATACCAAAGCTGAAGCCGAATTGTTCCAGAACACGAAGGACTCCACCAACAACCAGGCAAGCTAAGCTAAAGATGGACACGGCTAATGCCAATGCCGGTGGAGCCAGCGCGAACCTCATAGCTAGCTCAGCCCAAGCTGAATCTAACGCCAAAATATTAGAAGCAATCCACTCCCTAAGAGCAGACGTTACCACCCGTAATGATGAGATTCTGGCTGCAATCTCGGAAATTAAAACGGATCTCAGCGCCTACTCGGGAAGATTAACACATGCCGAGGATCGCATTGGTGAGACAGAGGATAATGTGACGGTGCTTCATAACACAGTGAACGGGATGGAGAAGGTGATTACAGCACTCACCGAGAAAGTAGACTATCTTGAGAATCGCGATAGGAGGTCAAATCTACGTGTTATTGGTCTCCCAGAAAACGCCGAAGGTAGAGACGTGGAATCGTTTTTGGAGAAATGGATACCAGAAGTACTCGGTCCCGAAAACTTCCCAACACCATTGGTAATCGAGTGAGCTCACAGAATCCCGGGTGGCAGACCGAAGCCCAACTCCCCTCTTCCCGCGAGACCTCTCATCGTAAAGTTTTTAAACTTTAGGGATAAAGTCAGGGTGATGCAGGCGGCACAAGCCAAAGGAAAGGTGATATACGGGACTCGCCATATCGTGTTTTTCCCAGACTTCTCAGCGGAGGTGACGAAGCGGCGTATGGCGAAGTGAAGCAACAGCTCCGTACCCGGGGAATACAATTCGGCCTTATTTTCCCTACCAGGATGTACACACTGCACAACGGGAAAATACGTGTGTTCAATACCCCTGAAGAGGTTGAGTCATTTCTTCGAGATGGAAAGGATACAGACAACGGCTAGATGTGGTGAGTTTACATAATTTGGATCATCCAGCGGAGCATTTTTTATTTTATTTTTTTGTTCCTATACTGACTGTACAACTTGAACTATGGTTTGTACCGGCTTCAAGCCTATGGATATATCCTGGCGTTACTGATGAAGAACGCACTGTAATTTCACTAGGTTTGACACTCCGCTATGCCCCTAGTTTGTTCCGGACGGAATAATGATGCTCTGCTGGAATTAAGATAAAAAGCTAATCGGTCACTAGTTTTCACTTGGAAATGATACGATCCACATTATGTCGTTTGAAGGTTCATCTGCATTCATATCTCTGTTCAGGCTTATTACAGCTCATTCATGCATTGTAACGCCCAACTAACTTTTAAGCTTATCTCCGTTATCTCAATCTGTGGTAGTGATTTAAAACAGTGTTGAATGCACCACATTTCATGTTTAGGGTGTGTTAAAAATACTGAATTGATGTTTAATTTGTCTTAATGTTTTTGCAATATTTCGGATTTGTTGTTGCTTTTGGTCTCTTTCATCCCTCGAATATATATTGGTCGAAGATGAAGGGTTCTTGCAGTGGTTAGTTATTGGTTTAATTGCTCCTCTTAAAGGATCGGTTAAATAGCCTAGGAGCTCTTACATGGAAGAGGTGAGGAGGACGGCGCGTTTCGTTAAGGCGGTTGGTGAGAGTGTTTCACGTCTCGTTTGGGAAGACGGAGGGTTCATGTTTTCTTATGGTATTTTTACGTTTGTTTATATGTGATCCTTGATGTGATAATGTGGTTTGGTAGACGAGTAGTTGCTGTTTCAATATTTACAATGAGGTCCCTTTTGATCATTTTGGAGAGATGGGTTAATGACACTTGATAACCTTTTTAAAATATCATCATGGAATGTTAGAGTGCTAGGGGGATTATCTCAAATAAAACAAGTAATGACTAGAATTAAAATGTTGCAATCCAAGGTAGTATACCTGCAAGAGACCCACCTAACATCCACTGAGATTTTGCGTTTGAGAAGACGATGGCAGGGACAGGT